AGTTGGATGCAGTGAGGTCCAATTTCTGGTCTAAGCTGGGCCTGCTGAGAAGTATCTCAGAACTGGCCTCAGCACCCTCATGATGAATCAGAGTTTCAGAGGCAGGCAGAGTGCATGACATTACTCTACCTGTCAAAGCACCTAAATTGGGTCTTCTCAATGTTATAAACTGTACCCTACGCACCTGTCACAGATCCATCACTGTTTTCCTCAATTTTTTAGGTAGCCTTTGACGCTATTGACCTCATTCAGCCACTTCCATTTTGTCTATTCATTCATAGCCAAAGAATCAATTGCCTTTAACTTTACTTCATTACCTGTGGTAACCATAAAAATTAACCATGGACACATAACTATTTCTCGTCAACACAATGCCCCCAAGGCAACATTGCCCAGAAACGCAGAATCAATTTTAACAAGGAATCAACCACTCCCATTTCTCCTTCACCATGACCTGTCTCCACCCTCTGCAGCCCAACCCCTCTCTCCACCCATTAGCCCCACCTCCTCACCACTATCTCTCTCCACCCACTACCCACCCACCCTACCCTTCCCTATCGTTAAATTGTCAGGCTGTTTGTGGAATATACTGTACTGAATGAGCAGATAATTTCTTTAAACGAAAGGAAGTCATCATCTTCAATCTTTGACATAAACTCCACTTCCCAAGTGCCAACTTCATCCTTCTCCATCCAACTGCCTTAAGGCTGAAACCGGACTCTTTGCAACCTTGATATCATATTCGAGTCCGAGATGAGTTTCTAGTGATATATCTGCTCCACTACAAAGAATACCCATTTACGCCTTTGTGACATCTCCTGCATTGTGTCTTTGCTATCTCTAGACTTGACTTCGCAAATGTAGTCCTGGCTAGGCTCCCACCTTCTATACTCTGAATTTAAAATCCCACTGGCACCAAGTTCCATTCACTGATCACCCCCAATGTTTACTCATCTACGCTGGCTCCCCACCTCCAAACTCCTCCAGCGCTGTAACTACCCAAGATTTCTGTCTTCCTCTAACACTGACCTCTTGAATATCCCTAATTTTAATAGCTCCACTACCATTTACACTTTTGTGTCATTTCACTACATTAAATGTGCTGTACAAATACAGGTAGCTGTTGTTATTAAGGAGTGGAATAGAGCAAGCGCCCAGGTCAGTATCCAGTCATGGCCTCTTGGTCAACATATTGATATATGTCAGGGTTCACTCTTGGCTGTGATACTCTGAGATTCGGTAAGCCTACCAAAAATTCATATACAAGGATTTCCTCAGATTGAGATGCCAGATAGGATTGTCTGTAGCCATCCAACCAGCTCAGTTGGAAACTGGAGAGGGCAGCAGGAGGAAGCAGGCAATCAACACTTTTCCCTTGCTTAAAAGGAGTCCTAAATTATGGAGTTTTGGTAACAATATGCAAAACATTATGATTCAGTTCAGATTCAGACATCCTAAAGCAAAACAGAGGACCATCGTTCAAGCGGCATCTATTTTGCATCTTATGAAAAACACTACTTACGTAGGTTGGTACATGAGGTCTTCATACATGATTTTTTGTCTCTTCGACAGGCAGCATTTCAGAATGTGCTCATATTTCTTCGGCAGTTGTTTCTCCACATCCCTCTTCGATCGCCGTAAAATGAACGGCTGGATCATCTAAAAGATAAAGATTCAAACACTTTTGAATTCTGTATACATTTCAATGCTTGCAATTAAAAAAAATGTAATTATTGCAAATGTGATTATGTAATGCATGTGTAGGCTATTCAGCCTATGACCCTGCTCCACCATTCTAAATCAGCTATCTCAATGCTATATTTCCACACCCTCCCCACATCCGTTGATATCATTAGTAACTAGAAATACATCAATCTGTCTTAAACTGAGTTTCACAGGCCTCTGGGGTAAATAATTCCGAAGATTCACACCCTCAGTAAAGAAGTCCCTCCTTATCTCAGTCCTAAATGACTGTCATTGTGGTGAATGCTACCACCAGATGGCACACAAGCAGCTTGACAGTAGAATGGCACTTGTTTGCAACAAAGATGGCACTGACAGCTCCGGATTTCACTGAGATACTTACCCATGCCCAACTCACCATAAATACTGGCTGGAATGGGAATGATTTCACACAGCAGACTGCTCTTAGGTGAATGATCTGCTGCAGCAGCCTGCATGTTTAATGAACTAACTCCTGTCCAACATCCCCTTGATCAATGTGCAATGTGCCCTCCAAGGAGGGAAATCTCCTCAAAGCTTGGAAGATGCTGAAAATCATGACAGACCTCTGAAATAGCCTTGGGGAAAACATGGTGGGCTGTCAGTATCACTGGATGTGGGAAATTCTCTTTTTAAACAAAAGGAAACCTTGTCACAGCAAACAGACTGTCTAACAGTTTAATTGACTGCGCACAGTATCCTGGCACAAAGGCATCCTGGTGAAGGCCACTGTGTCACAGTAAAATGACTTCACTGCCCTCATTAGCACCTGTGCTGGCGTCATTTTGGCATCTGCAGTAAATTACTCCGGCCCTAAATAGTTTGCTTTTTAGTCGGAGACTATGTCCCAGGTTCTAGATCCCACAACATCCTTTCTGCATCTATTCTGTCTATCCCTTTATGAATTTCCTAAATGAAATAACTGCACAGAGGCCGGTGTCCCATCACCGAGCCACCCTTCATTTACTTGTGCGCAGTACACTGGCTGTGACTAGCCACCTCAGAGTCTGTCGCCTGAACGGAGGAGATTCTAATCTTCTGGTTATACTCTTTTTATTCAAATTTCACATAAATCACAGTGTCACAGACACAACACATAACATCAGCCAAAATACATCAAAAACAAGTCACCGCCAACAAAAACGTTAATACAGAACATCCTACAGAAAATCATCCCAGTCCAAACAATAGACTGAAATCCACGTAAGGTATGTGTCCCCAACAAGACACATGGCAAGGTCACTGTACATCAGGCAATTTGCCAAAGAACAGAGACATTGACAAAATATACCATAAGGAAATACAACTCAGTTCAAACAGTAGTACAAAATCTTAAACAACAAAACAAAGCATCAGTCACAATGCATCAAAAACAAGTCACATTAACAGAGAACATCCTACACAAAAATCTCAGTTCAAACTGTAGTTTTAAGTCCACGCAAGATAAGTGCCCCATGCACAACACATGGCAAAGTCACTCTACATCAGATAGTTCGCCAAAGAGAAAAGATGTTGACATGAAATATCATACAGAAACACAGTTTGGTTCAAATGGTAGTACAAAACCACACAGACAAACACACAGTCCCCAAAGCTATCAGTCGGCCTCTTACACACCCCGCTAGCTATCGGTCAGCCTCCTACACATGACAGGGATACACAAAGACACGATATATGCATAAAAGCATAATCCAGACATGAAGACACGGTCCGGCACACACCAAGACACAGTCTATCCACGAAGGGCCCATACATTCATGAAGAGACAGTATACCTAGAAAAGCACCGTACATCAATGAAGGCCCAGTCCACACACAAACATTCAGTTTAGGACCTGGCACAAAGGCCAAGTCTTGTTACCAAATCATCCATTCACTTCACCAATACAACAGTACCACTGCCTGTGACCAGCCAGCTCAGAAGTCAGTTCCCTGCACTGAGGAGATTCTATTCTCCTGGTTAGTTTTTTCACCCCGGTCACTGAGCCACCCTTTATTTACTTGTGCACAATACACTGGCTGCAGCCAGCCAGCTCAGAGTCAGTTGCCTGAACTGAGGCGATTCTAAATCCCCGTTTATATTTTTTTTCCATAAATAACTTTATTGATAGTCTACAACCAGGAAAACACCACATGACCAAGGAACCAAAACCAAGCAGAGCCCCTTGGGACAATGCCTATGTGAACAAAAAGGTGAAGGTGAGGGTAGGGATCAAATCACAATAGAATTGGAGGGGGAATAAAGCATTCCACAGTCCATGGTGCCCACCTCTCCCGAAAGATATCTGAAAGATGCTGCAGAAAAGGGGCAGGCAGTTGACCATAATGACCGCCTCCACGGCCCGCTGCCTGGACCTGTTAATGGCCTGCTTGGCCAGGCCCAGGAGCAAACCCACAAGGAGTTTCTCCGACCTGCCCGCTCCCCTTCCTGTTATTAGTACATCATCCAGACAAATGGCAACCTAGGGTAGCCCTTGTAAAATGTTCTCCATGGTCTGCTGGAAAAGAACGCAGGCTGATGATACCCCAAATGGCAGTCTTGTACATTGATATAAATGCTTATTGGTATTAATTGTAGCAAAGCTCTGGGAATCCTCATCCAGTCGCAACTGCGGGTAGGCGGGGCTCACGTCCAGCTTTGTAAAGGATAGCCCCCACCCCGGCCAACTTTGTGTACAAGTCTCAATGCTAGGGGTTGGATATTTATCCAGCTGTGAGAAGCAGTTTACCATTTGCTTCAAATCCCCACAAAGGCAAACAAAGGCTTCACAGTCGGTACAACCAGTACTGCCCATTCTGCAGACTGCACTGGTTTGATGATTCCTTCACTCTCCAGCCTCCTGATTTCCGCCTTTACTTTTGCCCACAAGACAAATGGGACCGGGCAGCCTCGCAAGATCTCAGAATTGCTTCCTGGTCAACATGTAAAGTAGCCTTGTCCCCGTTGACTGCCCCAAGCCCTTCCCAAAATACTCCCGGGTATTTCATTAGGACTTCGCTCTGGTAGCTATTTTCTAATCGAAAAATGTTCAGCCAATCCAGGTGAATCTTTCTCAACCAATTTCACCCCTTGATAGGCTTGGGCCCGAGCCTTTTACTATCGTTAGTGGTAACTGAACCAACTGCTTCTCACAGGAGACCGGAACCAAAGTCATACCCTTAATCTGCAATGGTTCCCCAGGGCACGTTCTCCATCTGGCCAAGATCTTCTGCAAACTTAAGGGTTGGAGTCCTGAGCGAATCTTGTTAAAGACAGATTCTGCAACTGCAGATACAGCTGCCCCAGTATCGAACTCCACAGGAACTGGATGACCATTTAACCAAACGTTCATTTTAATCGGTTCCAATTTGGATGTCACTAAGCAATTTAATTGTCCCAACTTACACGTAGTGGGACTTACCAGGGTGTGCACTCCCCTAGGTACTGGCCTATGAACTTTTATTCACTCAAGCCAGACCGTGTAGGACTCCTTTGCTGTATCATGTCCGCACACCGGCAACAACTACAATAGCTTGCCGGCCCAGATCCTGATGAACTTTTTACCGAGGCTCAGCTTTGTTGTGGGATTCTGCTGTGGGGTGGCGAAGAGTCCTTCTGCTCAGGATATGCCCTGAGTGAGGCTCTGTGATTGCCTACACTCAAGTGGTATTCCCCAAGCTCAGTTGGAGACGTGAGAGAGTCCACTTCCACTGGGATGTCCTGTAGCTCCCATGCTCCACTTGCCACATTTTCTAATAACAATGCCAGCTGCAGTGCCTGTCTGAAGTCCACTTGGGCTTTGGCTAGTAGGTGCTTCTGCATGGATAAGTCATTAATTCCACAGACCAAAAACTGTGTCTCAGCATCTCACTCAGTGTTAACCCAAAATCACATGCCTCTGCCAGTTGTCTCAGCCTCATCAAAACAAACAGCAGCTCAGAATTAGAGGAGTCTTGGGGTCGTCATATTCCTTAACCAACTCCATCAACTCTTGGAAGGTTTTCATGTCTGGTGCCTCTGGGAAAGCTAAACCCCTTAAAATTGAGAATGCTGCGAGTCTACAAGCAGTCAGAAGGATTACTCGTTGCTTTTCATCTGCCCAGAAAATATATTACATTCTTTCCACATACTGGGCCCAGTCTTCGACAGCAGGATCAAACAAGTCAAGCTTCCCAAATAAAGGCATCATGCCAGACATGCTTACCCCAATTCAAAGATGTTGTAAGTGAATGTTCTTCAGGCACATCCCATCTTCTCTTGTCTCCACTGAAATAACTGCACAGAGGCCGGTATCCCATTACCGAGCCACCCTTTATTTACTTGTGCGCAGTACACTGGTTGTGGGCAACCAGCTCAGAGTCTGTCCCCTCAACTGAAGAGATTCTAATCTTCTGGTTATATTGATCAGCCAGGGCTTTCCTGATTAGCCCAGGTTAACAACCCCAATCAACAACCTCATAGTCAACAAGGTTAACCTGGTTCCAATCACTACCATAAGTTCTTATGACATCGTCTCTCATTCTTCTAAAAATACAACCCAGTCTCTTCAAAGGACAGTCTCATCATCTTAGGGATCAGTCTGGTAAACATCTACTGCACGCCCTCTTTGGCAAATATATCCTTGCATAGGAAAGGACACCAGAACTGCACACAACACTTCAGGTGCAGTCTCATTTTTTGGCTCCTGTACTCAAATCTTCTTTGAATAAAGGCATGATGCATTTTCTGGCAGTATAGATTCTACAAGATCTAATTGCTTATCTCTGCCAAGTGACCTTACATTAGGATAAGTTACTATGAAATGAGTAATCAGATTCCTTCAGGCTGTTTGTACAATGCACAGTGAACTGATCAAGGTGCAAGACATACAATCTCTTCCAAGACTTGTAAAGCCCTCAATCATGTTTAAGAAAATATAGCTGGTCACTGTACATTGCCTCCCATCTGCACTTCACAAACTTAGCTATTCTGCAGCTGACTGCCCTAAGGCACCATATGTGGAAATGGCAGGAAACTCCACATTCAGACTACCTGGCAAGATCCCTTTACAATCTTGCCATTTTCTTTTCCTAATTTAAGCATATGTTGCACTTACCCTATGCATTCTTATCACCAATTTGTGGCAATAGTCCTGATTTTCATCTGTGCCAACTTTCACAGGGAAATCCAGGTAGGATCTGGAAATTCCAGGCAGCAGGAAATGCATCATAGTCCACAGTTCCATCGGGGTATTTTGTAAAGGAGCTCCAATTAAAAGCAGACGCTGTTGACTAAAAAAGGAAAAATTTGCCATCAATTCACTCATTAGTATCCCATAATCATTCAAAAATGTAACTTACCAGAACTAAATGTGTTCGATTGGAGTCAATCAGATATTACCTTCTCATTTGTCAGCCGGCATGAAAACTTCCTAATTTCAATTACTCCCTTTCTTTCTCCCTCTTTTCCCCTAGCACACAATTCCAGATGACTGCCAGCTTCCACTACATTATCCAAATGGCCGTTCTGTTGCGACTTCAGGGAGTCAGTGTCAATGTGCTTTTTAATCACCGAGCATTAAAATCACAACGGATCTGTTGTGCACCCACAAGCAGAGGGCATGCTTCTCAATGGAGGAAATTGGGTAGGCAACTAGAAGCGGGAGTTCTGACTGATTCCCCCTCACTCCTAACCACAGATCCAGAACATTCATCTCGTGCACCCAGCTACATTGAAGCCCCAGACGTTTTGGTGCATGTGGCTTATTGTCAGTCACTTAACCAAGTAACTTTGACAACAAAGTTCAGGCTTCTAGATATGAAAGACTTAAAGAGATATGGAGACAGTGCAGGAGAATGGCATTGTGATAGAAGATCAGCCATGACCTAGCTAAACATCAAAGCAGGCTCAAGGTACCTAATGACCTATTTCTTCAGTCCTTTTGTGTATTTTAAAAATTAAGATGTATAATAACAGGAGGCTATTTCATCCATCAAGCTTGTTCCTCCATTCTGTTACAGAATGGTTGATCCCTATCTAACTTCTCATTTACCCAACCTGGTCCCATAATCCTTAAAACAGAAATCTATCAACCAAGGTCTTGGAACTTTTCAACTGACTCCCACCCTCAAGTTTTTTGAGGGACAACGGGTTCCAGATGTCCACTACCCTTTGAGACAGCAACTGCTTGCTGAGATTATTTCTGAAGGGCTTGGCTCTAATTTGAAGATTGGAGTGCCTTATTGTAGGATGTTTTCCTCACTAGAGGAAATTGTTTCTCTCTACAATCTCCAATCATTTTAATAATTTTAAACATCTTGATTTTACCATCCTGTAACTTCCTCTTAAATCTACTCTCATAAAAGGGCCCTTTTAGCCTCGTGTATTTGTGCGTTTTTGCCTCAATACCTACTCTAGCAAAATCAATCAATCACCTCAAACATATCAATCATATCATAACATGCTATGCTCTGAGGATTTTATTATCTCTTCTCACAGGAGTAGAAACACGCTTTCAAACTGAGATACATTCCCTAAATTGAAACACAACCATTATTACAGCAATAAGCTGAAGTTAGTTTATACTGTCATAAACATTAACGCATATGACACAGACCTCTTGAGATTGAACAGGGCCTCCCAGTGCCATTCAGTGGTGTTCCTGAGCTGCTGGACCTCGTCTAGGATTAGATACTTCCACCTCTTCCTTCGGAAAGCTTGGTGGTCCTTTAGCAGAAGCTTGTACGAGGTTATACATACATGGAAAGAATTGGGTTCCAACCAACACTGAAATTGATAGGTGTTTAGTTTAGCTACTCCATTCCCAACGTTGATACATTATTAACAGAAAGAGATTACATTAGGCAAAAAGCAGCCCATACTAACAACCAAAGCAAAGGTATGACATACAATCATAAAACACTGAAAACAGGCATTTGGTCCAATTAATCCGTGCCAGTGTTTATGCTCCACACAAATCTCCCAGTTTTCCTAAAATCCATCAACATATTTTCTGCTCCTTCCTAATTCGTGTTTATCCAGCTTTTCCTTAAATGCTTCAACGCAATGTAGCTCAACCATTACCTGGGTTTACAACTGCTAAATTTTCACCACCCTGTGTAAAAAAGTTCCCAATTCCTTTTGAATTTCTTCTGAACATTTTTATATTTACAATCATGAGTTTTAGTTTCTTCCCATAAGTGGAAACAGTTTCTCTATATCTACCTAATTGAACTTTCTAATGATTTGAAAGAACTCCATTAGGTCGCCCCACAGACCCTCTTTTCTATGGAAAAATAAACGGCTTCAGGCTGTTCAATCTTTCCTATTCGATATAGTCAAAACAAATTAATTAATAAAAGATTACCTCTCTTTTAATTCTACGTTCCTTCCTTGTGCCAAAGTACATCATGATCTTGAGACCTGGACACCACCGTTTGAATTCCATTTCCCAATTAAGCATTTTACAAGTTCGCACCACGACAAGATGTGGACCCCAGATGCCTTAATTCAAAAACACACAGAACATTAAAACCTACAGGCCACGTATGGACACATATTATTCAAAATTCATCTGAAATAATTAGGACAAATGCAGTGATTTCATAGATGTATGCATTTCAAGTTGAAAGCTAAACAAACAGCACTTCAGCAAAAACAATTGAACCAGTCACTTCAAAGGAAGTTCAAAACCACAAAAAAATGCTGCATATTCTGAAATAAAGACAATGCTGTTGCAAGACAGACAATTTTGACTTTAAAGACAACGGCAATGTCACTCCCTCTCCCTCCTTCAGATGTTAAGTAACATGCTTTCCACTTTAGTTATTTTCAACATCTATTTTCCACAGAACATGAGAACATAAAATTGCTCACTACTTGAGTAGGTGCAGATACAATTTCCGGCTGTGATTTTTGAAGAATTGAATGAAACTGTTCAATCTGCAGCACAGCCTAGGTGAGATTCTGGGGGGAAGACTTACGGTGGTAACAATTTTAACAATGTTGTGAACTTATTCTTTGCTACTATTCCTAGAATACAAAAGTAAATTTAGGTCGACTCTCCAGTGTAGCACTGCTTAAAAGGCTGTTTTTGGCAGAGAGATTAAATCAACCATCCATTTGCCCTTTCAGACAGGAGTAAAACATCTCACAGCTTCTATTTGATATGACATGTTGTCTCATTGGTGAGACCATATCTTAAACGCTGCCTGCAGTTTTGGTCTCCTTATTTTGGGAAGGATGTAAATGCATTGGAGGCAGTTCAGAGGTTTATTAAATTTATACCTGGAATGAGAGGATTGTCTTGTGATGAAAGATTGCGACTGACTGGGCTTGTTCCCCATGGAGTTAGGAGAGGGGCGGCCTGATTGAAATGTACAAGATCCTGAATGGTCTTGACAAAGTAGATGTGGAGGAGCCTCCAGCTGGGAGACACACATTTAAAATCAGGGGTTGCACTTTTAGAACAGAGATCGAGGGAACTGTTCTCTTAAGACGGTTGATCCTCAGAAGGTGGTAAAAGAAGAGCCATGAGATATTCTTAAGGCAGAAAGAGATTGATTCTTGTTCAGCAAGGGAATCAAAGGATATCTGAATATCAAATTCAGAACACAAACATATTCACCACAAGCTTATTGAATGGCAGAGCGGGCTTGAATGGTCAATTGGCCTACTTCTGATAATTCACACGTTTGCATCTGAAGAGCAGCAAAGGAGTTCCCCACCAATACTCTGGTACTTAACCAATATCAGTAAATCAAATATTCTGAGCATTTAGTTTACAAACGTTTGAGGAACCTTGCTCTTTGTAAATTGATTGCCAACTTTCCTAACATGATATCAGTAACCATATTTCAAAAGAACACTGACTATAAGGCACTTACAGTACCGCGAAGGCTTGAGAGATGCTGTGCGAGTGTACTTCTTATTAAGGAAGACATAAAAGCTTCTATTTAATCTGAAATAATATGTTGCTTTAATGTCAGTACTGCAAAGCCCACTTGACTGCTGCTCTACAACCGTGCTTTCAGATCCTTCCAAAACTCAAATGTCTCCTTTCCAATTATATGTATCAAAATGACAAAGCTACTTTGTCAAAATATTCAGGTTGGAGTTCTGCATTTGGCCTACCTTCATTTGCAGCGAGATGGGCTAAAAATCCAATAATCTGCACAGTCTTGCCTAAACGCGAATCATCAGCCAAAATTCCATTTAGTTTTCTTCTATGGAGACCAGCTAGCCAATCAATGCCAATCTGTTGATATTCCCGAAGAGTCCCATGAAGCAAGAAAGGAGCAGCATTTCTCACCTGTCAAAGAACAAAGTTGTACACTGTTCACACCACTGCATCGAAAAGCCACTAGACTCTACAATTATCCCAAGACAGACAATTACCGAGGATGCATAGCGAGCTGTGCCCTTTGGCAGCAGGGGCTCAGCAGCAGCAGAAACCTCAGCGATGTCCTTTCTTGGCCTCCTCCCCTCAGTCGGATTGGTATGTATTCGCTCCACCACTCTGTACTGGTCTACGCTCAGCAAAGAATCGATTGCCACCTCTTGCTCCGGACTGTCAAATTCAGCAGCAAACTCCTCTGCCATTTCTGAAACAGAGTCTCATTAGTACCCACACTGAACTGAGTTTCAAAATATCCAAGTGGCTTGTATTAAGCATACAAGAATGAGGAAAATTGCAGGCAAGAGCCTTAAATTAATCATGCACTGATGAAGTTGCACAATAATTATATTCATCCACAAGTCTTCATGAGTTAACACACCTTCAACATCGTCATAGTCGTCATCTTCACTGTCGGAAGAATCTGGCGCTGGCCAGTCAAAGTTTTCTGAATAAGCACCAGCATACTGCTGTACAAGGTCTTCCAGAGGGATTTCAGCTGTAAGCAAATTAATAGTTGCATTTAAAATTAGGAATACGAGAGTCATTCAGCCGCTGAAGGTTGCTCACAAGTGGATCACAACTGAGCTGGAGCTCAACTCCAAGCATCCACTGAAGTACTGTATTCCTTCATCTCCTTACTATCAAAATCTACTGATTTCAGTAGTGAAAGCTGAAAATGATCCCCTAGCATTCACAGCCTTTTGAGGGGAAGATTTACAGATTTCTACTAGACTTCATGTGTAAAACGGTTTAACGGTTTCACGATTCCACCCCCTCCGCGCAATACGACCTAGCACTAACTTAAACATAATATCTACTCATTCTTGATTCCTACTAAAGAAATTATTTTTCAATAGAGTTCTTACTGTTATAAATACCTCAATTAGATGACCTTTTAAGTTACTAAATGGAAGGAAATACAAACCAAGTTTATACAACGTAATCCTTTAAGCTGTAGTATCATTGTGACGATCTCCATTTCAGCCTCTCTTGGACTTCAAAGTGTTCCAATTACCTTGTTTGGCTAAATCGGCCAATTCAGTCTGATGGTCAACAACGCCTTCAATAGCCTCTTGTTCTTCAATTGTTTCTTCACAGTCTTCCACTGAAAATGAAAGTTGCAATGCAGTTTTTATTCATCTAAAGGCAGAAAGGTGACTTTATTGGCAGATAATAACCTATGAACAAACCTGTTTCCACAGCGGCCTCATCCCCAGCAAATGAATCACTGGATTTCCTGTTGCTTTCATTGCCCAATGTATCCTACAAATTAGAAAATACACAACTTCACATATCAGCATTTTTCATGCTTCAACTGTTACAAGGATTACATTAAAATTTCTTCACTAAAAAGAACTGAGGCTCTTGTCCATGTTGATAATAGGTCCAAATTAGTTTAAAAAAATGGAAATCACTAAATCTTGAATTTTTTAAAATGTTTTTATTTATATGGTACAAAACCCCTATAAACATCACACTGTAACCAGTTTCACATACAAATAGTCAATTTGAGAACTTACATCACTGAGCTTTTCTGACCTAGGCCATGGAGATACAGAGTTTGGACCTGAAATCAGAAAAAAACAAATATTAAAGTACTCTAATATTTTTGAAGTTTAAAAATCAAAACATTACTTTGATACTTTTGTTTTTATGGCCTGAAATCACCGAAATACAAGCCCACTAATTTTTGACACAAGATGCTGAACTACATTCTTGACCTCTGTTTGATGATTCCCTCCGTAAATGTAATGTTTTTCTCCGTTGCTCTTCCATGTAAAGCTGCAACTTTACTTCTACAACCTGTAAAGAAAATGCAAAAAAAAAACTTAAGAGTTTTTTTTTTCCCCAATCCATACACATAGCATTCTCTACATTTAGATGTGATGGAGCAAAACATGTTTTCTTATAACCACAGTTTCAACCTAAAATACTGATTACCCAAGTAGATTTCCTCCTTACATTCACAGTCATGAACAGTCATGTGTTAGAAAATACAAGCAACAATATTTATAGAGATAACAAGGTGCACAGCTGGATGAACACAGCAGGCCAAGCAGCATCATTGGAGCAGGAAGGCTGACGTTTCGGGCCTAGACCCTTAAGGCCTGCTGTGTTCATCCAGCTCTACACCTTGTTATCTCAGATTCTCCAGCATCTGCAGTTCCTACTATCTCTGAAACAATATTTATAGGATGTCTTTAGTGAAAAAGCACCTCAAGACACTTCACAGAGATGGAATCAGGCAAAAATGAATGTCAAACCAAGGAGGGAGATATTGAGAGATGTGGCCAAAGGAGTGGTCTTAACTATGAATCAAACAGAAATGCTGGAGAAACTCAGCAGGTCTGGCAGCATCTGTGGAACAGGTATCTCCACAGATCCTGCCAGAACTGCTGAATTTCTCCAGCATTGTTCAGATTTTATTTCTGATCTATTTTGCTTGTACTTGGTCTTAATCGGTTCTTGAAGGAGACAGAGACGTTGAAACAGGTGCAATTTAAAGTCAAAGCATATGAAGATGATGGCACGGTTTACAGTACTTCTGAGGCTTTTAAAGCAGTCCATCAGACACGTAAATTCCAAGAAGCACCGATAACTAGCCATTTTCTCCAATCCTCTGGAATTTCAAAACATTTCTTTCTCTCATCCCAATTCTCTTCAAATGCTTGAAAAGAGTCAAAACATTACCAAAACCAAACACTGTGTTCACTGCACAGTTTTCAGGTGCTGTAGGATCTGAAATGCAGCAAACATGTTTCAAATCTGCAATTTATGAATTGATTATGGACCAATTTCACTTATGATCAGCCAAATCCGACAAGCAAACAGCATCTATAGGTCCAGTTTCAAATCCCACCTGCTGCAAAGGTGTGTCTTAACATGTCCGAACAGGTCGATTAGAAAACAAACAGCGCCATTGCTAATCGTATCATTTGATTACTCAAGCAAAAAAAAACACATCAATTACCAAACGCCTGCGCGATAAGCTAAACAGCAATAACTACTTACATTAATAAAGCACATATTATTTTAATATGAACAGTCTCAGATGGTTTCATAGGCGTGATAATCAAATAAAATTTAACAGTAGGCTACACAACAAGATAATAAAACAGACTGAGCGAAAATTTCGTCAAAGAGTTGGATTTAAGATGGATCGTGTGAGAAGGATAGATGGAGAGATGGAGGAAGACAATGCCAGGGCCTAGAGACTGAGCAGCTGAAGGTACAGCCACCAATAGCAGTGATGATATTAATTAGAGAAGCTTGACATTTCCATGTACTTTTTGGAATATGTGAATATTTGTTTTGGAATTTTAGTAATGTCTAATTAATGATAATATTTCATTGCTATACCTTTTCAATATTACACCAAAATTGCAGCACATCTCTAGCAACTGAAGCAGCTTTCCGTCTTAGTTTGGCATGTTCTTCTCTTCTTGCTCTTTCTTCATTCAGCTTCTGTTCTTCATGATGGCGCACAACAGTTCGAGCAAGCTAGTTCAAAAGAAGAATTACTGATGGTTATCTTTTTAAGAATCAGTACTTACTTAGATTATCTAAGTTAATGAAAACATCCTTCCAATATCTAGGTACACACAAAGCATTCAATACTAATGTTTACGCAGCTGCAAATCAGTAATTCCATATTTATTTCTTGAGCACAGAATCAGGACATTCGGTTCAAAAGATTCACACTGGTGTTTCTGCTCCACACAAACTTTCTCCTATTGTCTTCATCTCACCCCACCAGCATAACTTTCTTATCCTTTATCCCTCACTTTTATCTGACTTCCACTTATATGCATCATACTATTTGTTTCAACCACTCTATGAGGCAATGTGTTCCATGTTCTCACCACTCCTTGGATAAAGACATTGATCCTGAATTCCCTACTGAATTTATTCAGGACCATCATCGATTAGTGAGTCAAAAATCTCTGTTTAACAAAACAACTTGAATTTGCAGAGTGCCTCTCGACAAACTCAAGACTTAATGGCCAATTAATTATTTCTGATGTGCTCCGAGACCAAGAAGAAAATCCTCTCTTTAGCAGCAAAACCAAAAATTAACCAATGGGACATTTTTCTCAGTAGCTGTTTACAGGACCTTCCTGTATGCCAGCTAGTTACAGTGTTTACCCAGACAACAATGACAAATGCACTTAAAAACTAACTCCAAGCCAATGTTTCCTCAGAGGGTCCGTGCGCTACAACGTTCCCAGCACTGACTTCCGTTTTGGAAGCTACTTTTGCATATGAACCTCATAGGTCTGCGCAGCAGCAGGAAAAATTAGAAGGAAAGTAATTCCATGGTTAATTGATTGATTGATTTATCACATACCAAAATACAGTGAGAAGAGTTGTTTTGCGTGCTATACAGGCAGATCATACCACATGAAGTGCATCAGGGTAGCAGAAGAGAACACAGAATACAGCGTTACAGCTGCAGAGAAGGTGCAGGGAGAGAGATCGGAATTAACATTTGACAGATCTGTTCAAAAGTCTGATAACAGCAGAGAAAAAGCTGTTCTTGAATCTGTTCATATGTGCATTCAAACTTTTACATCTTCCGCCTGATGGAAGAGAGTATAATCAGGGTGAGAGGGGTCTTTGATTATGTTGGTTGCTTTCCCAAGGCAGCATGAAGTATAGATGGAGTCAATGGATGGAAAGCATGATGGACTGGACTGTGTTCACGACTCTCTGTAGTTTCTTGCAGTCTTGGGAGATATCTATGAGAACTGTGATAAGTAGCTGCAGATATGTATGTTTTTCATTGCTTTCTGTTAGGGCACTAAGATCAGATACAAGTTTACCTTTTTAGCAATGCCCATCTTCCACCTCCTTTCTTGAGCAAAATCTGCAGCCATCCATTGCATTTCTTCCAGCAGGTAGTCCCAGTGAGATTTCGGTCGTGGTGCTTCCTGAAGTCGGGGCAGTCTCCTCAGTGACCACAACCCCTCTTTCCTAAGTTCAGCAATTCGTTGATGTATCTGATTTTCCTATTAATGATGAAGAGGGCGTTAGGGTAAAATGAAAAACTTAAATCAAAGCAGAACCCCAATTGACGTATACTAAATCTGTTGCAGCTTGAGATCTATGCAGAATAAAAGGATGTAGATTTGAGCTTTACATGTTCGTTCCAAGTTTTACAGTCCCAGTTGAATGCCTACCTGTTTTCCTCCACTCTTCAACATACTAAATGACAGAACCTCAGCTCTAAGGGGTAAAGAATGCCAAAGATTCACCTCCCTCTGAATGGAAAAATTCCTCCTCATCTCTGTCTTAAATGGTCTGATGCTTATTGAGACCACGTACCCTGGTTCTAGTCCCATTCCAGCAAAGGGAAACATCCTACCTACATTTATCCTATCAAGTCCTGTAAGAATTTTGAACGCATACCTTTCATTCTTCTAAACTGTGAAGAATATAGTGAAAACATAAGCCACCATGAGGTGGCCAACCCGCTTGGTGTAGTTAACTGCTCATGTTGTATACTAAAACATCACATTTGTGCGATAACACAAGAATAATCCAATGCATGGGTGACATGCAATCCACAAGCCCTGGATTTCTTGCCTAAAGCCCAGATATTTTACTGGTCCTTGAAATGATAAACTTCTATTCAAGTTTGCTGAGATTGGGAAGGCCTATTGGCTAACTGACAGTAAATTAACTCCTTTAAGGAGTTGGTGAAGCACAGTCTTGCTCCATCCACTTAAAAAATAATCTTAAACAGAAGCAGTAAAACATCTGTCAAATTAAGAACCTCCTCTAACTTTCTTTTCCAAACAAGTATTGTCTTGATCCAATTGATGGATACTACAGGACAAGGTAGATCCCAGAATGAAACCTGGCTTGATACATCACAGCTTCTAATTATTACAATTAAATAACGGTGGTTACTTTCTAAAACATATCCACACATAGCTGCAGATGTTCTTTAACAACACAATACAAACGAAGAAAACCAAACAAACCAAGTAATATGTACATGTATCATTCAAAAAAAGAATGCAGACATCAAAATGAAGTTTCAACCTGTTTCCCAACACCATCTGAGATTCAACTCTTGCAGATTCCTAGATATGGACAGTGCAGAGAAAGCAATGATTCCTTTCCAGATCTGCTGTGAGGAACCTTTCACAAATCTGAAGACCTAAACTTTCTCAGTTCTAATGACTTGCAGATCTCTATCCAAAGGCCTGGAAGCTTCACAAGCTACTCACTTCTGCTGGAGTAGTTCGCTTCCCCAAACTGGAAAATACTAGTCCTCCTGGGGAGGACGGACAACTTACTTCTGAGCTCAATACCTGATTCTTCTGAATTGAACTCAGAGTTCTTTGTTGTGAAGTCAAAACAAAACAAATGGCTTTACGTATTTACCCAGCTGTCAAATACCCAAAAGTACAAGTATCTTATTCCATTAACACTACAGGGGGGCTACAGTCACATCCTTTCTGAGCAGTGCTAGGTTTAGATCACTGTTCCTTAATGACTTCCTGACTTTTCAGTAACCCACATCCATCTGCCTTTCTCTTTAAACCACTCCAAATTCCAAAATTGAAAAAAAATTATATGCTTTTCATCACACTATATTAAACTGACCTCCTGGTATACTACAATCAGTAAAGCATAAGTCACATTCTTAAATTAAAAATCAACAAGCTTGAAGTGTGTGAGTTTCCAGTGCATGGATAATGTTATAGCACAGAAAATCAGTGTTCATCTTCCTCTTGGGCCCTTCCCACCTAACTGCATCACACCATCTCAAGAGATCTTTCCATTCCTTTCTCACTGATGTAAAAACTAAGCAATCAGATCACTGGACAGGTTTTGATGCCTTCATCAAGATTTTGTTTTTAAAAATGAGAAAATCCCATTGTTGAAGAACCCATTACAATCTGGATGCAAGGAATGAAACAGCTAAATTACAAATTATTGTCCTACCTGTTTGACTTGTTCGACAACTTTATCTTTTGCATTTGTAGTGCTATCCTGTGAAACTAGTGATGAATTCTGTAACACCACTTGGGCTTTAGGTGGTACCGTGACAGACAAACTAACCAACCCTGCTTGCTTGGATTGAGAGATTGGTGACACTGGCCTGCTTGCAGCCAGGGGAGTCCTATTAGTCAATGCTTGATGTACAGGAGCAGAAGATATTGTCCCTGAAAGGGTCACTTGTGGCACAGATGAGGTAGGCAGTGAATTGGCAATCAATCGTTGGCATGCCTGGCCAGAGTCACTTGTCGATCGCATCAGCGTCACAGTCTGTACAAAATCAGAAATGCAAATATAAAATAGTGACAAAATATATTTCTGACAGAAGCAGCAAATTTTTCATCTAACTATCACAACACCTACTTGCATTTCTCTCGAACCCAGGCAGGTTCATGAACACTAAGACCACTTAACAAGGTAGTGCATAAATTAATACAAATCAAATCAGGGGAAATGAAACATTAATGGCATGGTAAGAGGGAATGATCGAAAGAAGATGTTCCACAGGGGAGGCAGTTCCTAGTGTGGAGATCCTCCAATGAACGGGAGCAAGGGTATTAAATCTGCACCCACCAATGATGCAGGATAGAAGCAGACGACCCCAATAAAAGATTACATTAATGGAGATATATTCAGCAAATTAAATACAACACTAATCAATGTGTGTAATACATTCTGACAGATAGAATAAGGAGGAGATCAAATACTTAGGGGTTGGGTTTAGGAGCAAAATATCTAGGGATATAAACTGACAAATCTGCTATAAATATCAATTCAGATTAACAATGCTTCTTTTAAAAAAAACCTACTAGGATACATTTCTCCAGATTCCCAATCTGGGAATTAGAAGAAATAATTATGCATACGAGATACACAGAAAATAGGAGCATAAGTAAGCCATTCAGTCCTGCAAGCCTGCTCCTTCATTCAATACGATCAGGGTCAACCCATCCAACTCAGAACCGTGTTCCCATATCCTTTGATCTCTTTACTGCCACAGGGAGTAGTTGAGGCAAATCATATTAACCGTATCAAGGGGCAGCTGGATAATTACACGATGAGGAAAGGAGAGGTCCATAATGAATACTTTTCTTCAGTGTTCACAACTGAGAGGGACCTAGTTGTAGGGGAGGACAGTGTCAAACAGGCTGGTAGGCTAGAGGAGAAAAATGTTAGGAAGGAAGATGTACTAGGAATTTTGAGGAATTTGAAGATAGACAAGTCGCGCGGGCCTGATGGAATTTATCCAAGGATTCTATGGGAAGCGAGGGAAGAGATCACAGGGCCTTTGGCGATGATCTTTTCGCCCTCACTGTCCACGGGTATAGTGCCGGAAGATTGGAGAGAGGCAAACGTCATTCCCTTGTTCAAAAAAAGGGAATAGGGAATAACACCGGAAATTACAGGCCAGTTAGTCTTACGTCAGTGGTGGGCAAATTATTGGAAATGGCTCGGAGAGATAGGATTTATGATCACTTGGATAGGCACAGTTTGATTCGTGATAGTCAGCATGGATTTGTGAGGGGTAGATCATGCCTCACAAACTTTACTGAATTCTTTGAAGAGGTGACCAAACACGTGGATGAAGGTAGAGCAGTGGATGTGGTATACATGGATTTAACTAAAGCGTTTGATAAGGTTCCCCATGGTAGGCTCATGCAGAAAGTAAGGAGGCATGGGATAGGGGAAATGTGGCAGATTGGATTCAGAATTGGCTGACCCTTAGAAGACAAAGGGTGGTAGTGGACGGAAAATATTCAACATGGTGCTCAGTTACGAGTGGTGTACCACAAGGATCTGTTCTGGATCCTCTTCTATTTGTGATTTTTGTAAATGATTTGGATGTAGGAGTGGAAGGGTGGATTAGTAAGTTCGCGGACAATACGAAGGTGGGTCGAGTTGTGGATAGTGCGGAGCGCTGTTCTAGGTTACACAGGGACATTGTTAGGATCCAGAGCTGGGCTGAGAAGTGGCAGATGGAGTTTAACCCTGAAAAGTGTGAGGTGATTCATTTTGGAAGGACAAACTTGAAAGCAGAATACAGGGTTAATGGAAAGATTCTTGGCAGTGTGGAGGAGCAGAGGGATCTTGGGGTTCATGTCCACAGTTCCCTGAAAGCTGTCACCCAGGCAGATAGAGTTGTTAAGAAGGCGTATGGTGTGTTAGCTTTCATTAATAGAGGGATTGAGTTCAAGAGCCGTGAAGTTATGCTCCAGCTACACAAAAGCTTGGTTCGGCCACATCTGGAGTATTGTGTCCAGTTCTGGTCGCCTCATTACAGGAAGATGTGGAAGCGTTGGAAAAGGTGCAGAGGAGATTTACCAGGACGTTGCCTGGAATGGAGGGAAGGTCTTATGAGGAAAGGTTGAGAGAGCTAGGGCTTTTCTCTTTAGAACGACGAAGGATGAGAGGTGACTTGATAGAGGTGTACAAAATGATCAGAGATATAGATAGACAGCCAGAGACTTTTTCCTAGGGTGGAGGTAGCTATTACGAGGGGGCATAGTATTAAAGTGAGTGGAGGTCGATATAGGGGAGACATCAGAGGTAGGTTCTTTACTCAGAGAGTGGTAGGGGCATGGAATGCATTGCCAGAGAGGGTAGTGGAGTCAGCCTCATTAGGAGCATTTAAGCGGCTATTAGATAGGCATATGGATGATAGCATAAGGTAGGGGTGGAGGTTAGATAGACCTTAGGTTTAGGGTGGGCCTGTACTGTTCCATGTTCTATAGAAGGGCTTTGCTGAAACATTGAGATAAACAATGGTGTCTGTGACGTTTTGAAGAAGGGTCCACTGGACCTGAAGCATTAACTCTGCTTTCTCTCTGCAGATGCTGCCAGATATGCTGAGGTTTTCCAGCAATTTATGATTTTGTTTACGATTGTAACTGATATGATGAATCTCAGAATTACAAAATAGTTAGGAAAAGCTAGAAATGATAATACTAATGAAAGTTCATAAAGCAGCTATAGTGAAGTAAAATCAGAGATGTCAACATGTCTTTGATTTCTGCTTGAACCATTACAGTTGAAAAGGCAACTTTCATCATTATCAATACATATGGTTCATATACTACCTTCACACTACATTTACCTGCTGTTGAGAAAGGTGTGCTTGTGACTGCTGAAGTTGTGCTGACGGTTGAGTCTGCATCGGTACATGAAGTGGAGCTTGCACCTGCTGCTGGAGCTGAACTTGAAGCTGGGTCTGAGACTGAGAAAGAGAAACAGGCTGCTGCTGAGCCTTGACCTGTGGAAGATTTTGAGGCTGGGTTTGGGGCTGGAGAAGGGGCTGGGGGTGAAGCTGGGGATGGGATTGCAGCTGGGTTTCGACCATGTGTTGTTGTGTCAACTGAATAGTAGCTGAGAGTGATGTCAATGGCATAACTGTGGGCTGCAGTCTGCCAGGCAGCTGGGGCGGAGGCGTGTGCAGGCTAGCTGCGTTCTGCACTGGAGGTCCTTTGGAAGGGTCGTACTGCTGTTGGTTTTGTTTCTGGCCACCAAGCTGTATTGTCTGAGGCGTAGGGGGCATTCCACCTAAAGAAATGTGAAACACAGAGAACATGGAGTCAGCATTGTTTGTTCTTGTTTTAACTAAGTCATTTACTTTTAGTAAATGGTTAATGAATGCAATTAACATTGTATAAAAGTATCACCCATGGTGCCAAGCTGTGGAACAAAGCTAAAATCAAAATGTATGAATCCTGGATTTCATAAACAGTGAAAGAGAGCATAAAAACATGGAAATTACATTAAACTTTTATAAAACATTGGTTAGGCATCAGCTGGCGTATTGTGACCAGTTCTGGGCATTTCACTTTTAAAAGGAGGACATCAACGGCTTGGGGTGGGTGCAGAGAAAATTCACCAGGGTGAAGAACCCCAAGTCATGCTGAGGAACACAAGAAGTTGGAAACTTTCTTTTTAAAACAGAAAAAGGTTAAAGAGGAAATTGACTTATGTTCAAGATGATGACGGGTTTGGACGTAGTAAATGAAGAGAAACTGTTTTCATGGCTGGAGTGTTGGTAACAATTTAGTAACAGATTTTAAAAGCTGGTAAAGTAACCGGAGACGAGATTACCTTTCTAAAAATAAAACACACAGAGGTCTGATGACCTAAACTGCACTATCTGAAAGGGTGGTGGAAACAAATTCAATAGCAACACTCAAAAAGAAACTGGATAAACACTAAAGTTGCAGAGTTATGGACAAAGTGGCTAATTAGATAGCTCTTTCCAAGAGGCAAAACAGACAAAACGGGACAAATGAACTCCTTCCAAGTCAAATGATCAAAAGTCTGCCTCTCTGCAACATAATAGTTCTTAAACTCCTAAATATAGCTACTCAACTTCAAACATCTCAGGAAATATGCACTGGATCTAAAGTAATTCTGAAAACCAAACCTGATTGAAATCAAACTGAATCTTTTCAGCACATTTGACGAAAGAGAGAAAAAAAAATTCTTGGCACAGAATTCCTTGGTGAGATTCAGCACTGGCTTTTCTGTCATCATCTTCTATTGAATTTTTAGAAAAACAGTTTACTGACACTAGAAGTAAATTAACTCAATATGCAATTGTAAAATTTCACTGAAGCAAATTTATTGATCCTGCTCAACCCTAGAGGCTTCAATCCAATTTAAACAGATAAATCGCAAAACCAAACTGTTGAGAAAAACACACAGTTGTCTCAAACCTGTAAGCGAAGTTCAATTCGGGGGTTATGATAGTAATATGTACAACTAAACTCTGTGGGACTGCAGTATTGCAAATGCAATTATGTTTATTGAGTTTCTGGTGCAGGGCGGAAACCAAAAAATCAAATACTGAAAGAAACAGCTTTTTTTCATTCCAATGTCAAATAAAGAGTCCCAAATTCCTGCCACTGTGACTGTGAAAACTGCGCACGATGCCTTTAATTTACAAAGTTAAATAATGCAAAACACAGAATCCACAAGGCGATACAGAAGCTTTACACAAGCAGTTTGAACCTAGTGCAGTGGAGATAGAAATAAACTTACCACTCAAGTCACCTGAAAATTAAGCACTTCATTTTCAAATTATGTCCCATCACCTTCAAATTTTGTACAAAAAAAATGTTGGTCATTTTGGGAAATTAAGCATGCACATTTAATTAATGACCTGATCACAAAGAGTCTAGGAGAGACACTTATAAAAAGCAGCAAACAGGCAAGAACATGTCAATAATGGTAGCCTGAAAGAGGTTATGCTTTACACATAGTGCAAGTTAACCCACCTATACAGTTTGACCTTACAGTTCTGGCAATATACAGGAACAGCAAGGAAAACAAAGACCGACTCAATACCCAAACAACATGCTCACATATCTATCTTGGGAAATGAGAATTAAAGAAAACAGAACACGTCACTCAGACAAAAGTTGAATTACACCACAAATTCCCCACAGGCTTCCTCTCCAGAGGTACATTTTCAAAGCATCAAGAAACACGTTCTCACTTCACAGAGCTTGGAAGAAGCTTCTGTGTGTCCACCGTCAGTAGGGATAAAGCACTTATTTCCTTTGCTGAGAAAAACACTAATATGAACAAGGTGAAACCTATTACCACTGAAGTGATTGTTATGTAGGCTACATAACAACTGTCAATGCACTTCTCTGCTACACACATTATGATGCAATAAGGCGCTATAGAACAGTAAGCATTATTTTATGACCAACTGGACGATTCAGACGGTTTAGAATCAAAAGTGACCCATCCAACATTTGTTGAGAGGCTTGCTTTGAAAGATGTTGTTTTAAAACTGCAGCACCACTTACAGAATGTGCAAGCCTGATGATACGCTGGAATCAGTTAGGGACTGACTTCAAGCACTGACTGCAACACTGAAATGGCTCATGCACAGCTTTCTAAGTGATATTGTCTATGTTTCTTGCACCGATCTTCACTGATAAATCAGGAAAAATTGCCCAATCCAAAATGCACATGACTGGCCTGTAAATGTTAGTTCAATGTTAAATTCATCCTGTAGCATTACACCCAACCTGACGTGATCATTTATGTTAGTCACCAAAAACCGAGGATTCAAATTCAAAGAAATAAAGATGTTACATTTATATAGCACATGTCACAACTTCAAGACGTCCCAAAGTGTTTTATAACCAATGGACTTCACTTTTGAAGTACAGCCAACATGCAGATAAGGAAGTCCCAATTACAGCAAGAAGAAAATATCCAATAACTGTTTTTAAAACTGATTATTTGGATAAGTATTAGCCAGGAAACAGGTGAGAATTCCTGTGCTTTTCTTTATACATTCAGTGTGAAATCTTTGCCCCCATCTGAGAGCTCAGACAGACCTACAGTGAACATCTCATCCAAGAGAGGGTACCTTCAACAGTACAGCAAAGCCTTAGTACAGAACTGAAGGACTAGCGTAGTTCAAGGTGTTTGGAAACCATAACCCTCTGACTCAGAGGGCAGAGTGTCATGGTTGACACCTGAAGACTCTTCATGGAACATAAAAGGAGGAAAAGGAGGAGGTGCAGTAAAATATGGCACTGCTTAATCACAATCATGAGTATAGAAAAATAAAATTAAAAGAAGGGCGAATGCGTCAAACGTCAGAATACAAGGTTAACAGACCAGCTGTAAATCCTTCTTTACCTTTATGGTTAGAAAGCACTAAAAATGAAAAGTTGAAGTCGACACACAAGTTGCCCACACCATGCATGTATCTACTAGAAAATATAAAGCACATTCCAAACAGAATTTTAAACAGTCTGCATTAAAAGAAAAAGCAAAGCCATGTTCAAACCTCATTAAAGGACAAGTGCATTTTTCTCAGATTTGATTCAGAGATCAATGTGCTCTGAAACACCAATTGTGAGAGTGTATATGCACAGTTTGAAAACATCACATACTGCATTTATATTACACTGATACTTTCAATATAGCACAGCCCACTTTATAACGCACCAATTAACTCGCTGGAGGGCATCATTAATAACATGGACGGAATTGAGTTTATAATTTCTTGCAGCTTCTCCCTGTAAACAGAAATTTTAGCCTTTTGAAAATGTCGCTAATGGTCATGCATACTGGTTTGATCGTGTGCACTTTCATTTAAAACTGGCACTGTTCACATTCATTAAAGTTAGGAGTAAGATACAGAATACAAATGAAACTCTTACTCTCACTTTAAATTGATGGATACTCTATCAAAGGATGTTTACGCACAAGCTAAAGTAAATGAAAAAGGTCCTTGTAAATGAGAGAAGACATCAAAATGTGTATGTGAAGATGTGTTTGTTATCTCTTACCCTGCACTGTTGGCATGAGCTGCTGTAAGGGAACAATAGCTGGAGATCCTAAAGTAGTCATAGTTGTATGCTGGAAAACCATTCCATGACGACCACCTTCTATCCGTGGCCTTTTATTCTGATCTGAAGTCAAAAGCAAAACACAGAGTTCGCAATATTATGCAATAAAAAGAAAGCTTACTGAAGCATCTCCTCTTCAAGGTCAACGCAGACTTGTTCATCATGCATGAAACTTCTGACTTTCAGCAAATGTCTTAACTCTTTCAAGACATCATTGGAAGAATACATAAAATGATTTAAGAGCTTGAAAGTATTGCGCAAATTAGTGAACAGCCAGGTACCTCAATTCAATGCTTTCAAGGGCCAAACTAATGGTGCAAGGGGTGCAGTATATTGAAAGTATCAGGTTTGTGTGTGACGGGACATTGTTTTTACATCACATTATATGCAGCATGCACTCACTCAATGGCACTCCGGCTAGTGACATAGGCACATTTTCCACAGCATGAAGATCTGAGGAAGCTCTTTGGGGATTTTCAACTTAAATAAAAAAAAAATGATGAGCAACATTAGGTTAGTGAGAAAGCATTATATAAGAGGCATATAATGTGACATGTATACATTAGAATAAGCTCTATATGTACCTCAACCACGTCTTACTACAAATTAAGTATTTTCACTCGACATAGTCACTCACTAAACTTAACAGCTTATAGTTATCTATTCATCTTGGGACTTCCTGTCCACCGCATTTAGTTTTTAAGGTATTATCTTAGTTATGAATACAGACTGAACCTTTCCACTTTAGTGAAGTGCAGATTTGCAGATCAGTTGATTGAGGTTTAGAGGTAATGAAGGGACCAGATTGTGTTGTCATGCCTGTGTTCCAATTAGTAGGCTAGAAGGAGGGGGGTCATATATATCAGGATATAGGTTAAAATCAATTTTCAATATCAGGAAGTGAAATTCTGGAACAGGCTCAGCAGGCAGTAATGCCTTCAAACAAAGTGGAACCATTTTCTTGGTACAACAATGATCACTTCACAAAGGGATAAAATGATACAAGGAATTATCAGGGCCAGACTGATCTCACAGATTAGTTTTAATAGCTTAATGAATCAGAAAAAAATTCCCAGATTTACTTTTCCCAAATAGGCCTGAGCCTTTCTTTTCACCTAAGTGATCACAAGGCTCCAGATGGGATGTACAGCATTTGACTAACATCTAAAGGATTTT